CACTATTGGTCTTCAAACGTGTTCTTTAAGATATTATGATAGTCATCTCCAACCATCAAAACATGTCAAAAACTTTAAAATACTCCAAGAGCACCTACGTTTAGTGCACATTGCACTTAGGTGAGGTGATTTTGAACGAGGGCCGGGTCTGGCAATACGCCAGGCCCCTCGGGCAACTTATATTACTTTCAATCACTTTGTGGACCCAAACAACACTTATTAAAATACATCCAGTAAAATAGAGCACTCTTTTTCATCCACATTTTTTTAAAAGAGTGCACTAAATTTTGAAGATAAAGCTACATGAATTGATATTTTATGCTGTGGGGAAATTGAATCTTACTAATGTTTGTTTGAAGGTATCTCCGGAATGGATACATAGATCTCGCTGAAATTTGACATAGATGTAGAACATAGTCTGGATGAACACATCGGCTAATTATTAAGTTTGTTTTTAATTCCGGACGGAGTCGCGGGCGACAGCTAGTATTTTATGAAATTAATCAGTTTTATTTGAGTTAATAAACGCTTTATTAAAATAATTTATACATTTATAAATTGATTTATTCATCTGAGTATATAAAGGTATAAAATCGGCTTATTAGATTTAGTCAGCGAAGTGAATAAATTTATACTCAAAGTAAGTTTATAAGACATTTTCCGTTCTGTAACAAGTCAATTGTAATAATTTGCTTGTCTTGTTTTATATTCTTTGATCACAGTTTCATTGTTATATTAGTCTTTGGTTTCATCATTATCTATTGTTGAATTTTAATATTAAAGTGCTGTAATACAGTGAATTAGAGCTAATGTTTAATAAATTCCAGCTTTGATAACTTCACGCGTTTTTGAGAAAAAGGGTCTTGACAGACGGATGGACGGACAATAAAGTGATCCTGTAAGGGTTCCGTGTTTTTCCTATTAGGTACGGAACCCTAAAAATTGAATCAAATTTTGTTAAAAATTCTATCATTTAATTTTTTGTCAAGATTTTATTTAAATTAAAAAAATAAACTAAATTATAAAATTAATTTTCGTGCTATCATCAATCTTTGATTAGTCTTTGAAAATTTCGTTTAGCTTCACAGTTTAATAACCAAACACACACACACAAGTTAATAACCATTCAATCTTTGAATCCAACAAAATCAAAATTAGTATTTAACATAAAGCAAGTTATTAGAAGCAATTTATTGAAATGGTAGCGTTTGTGTTTGGCTTCTCTATATCTCGTCACAGCTCGGATCTCGTTACGGTTTCGACTTGTTTAATCTCATGTAATCCTATTTGCGACTCGCTGCCGGCGTCCCAGCGTTATCCCAACTTATGAAGATTATTATCCTCGTCTCCAACACTGCGCAACAATTTCCGATGCTTAACTACCAATTCGACGGTTAGCTCGTTGAATGTTAGCACATGTTTAAATATTCACGAATATACATTACTAAGTTCTTAATCCAATAAGATTACTTTATATCTTTTAGGTGTTTGGCAACGGTTTAATTTGACCTTGTAAGTTTTTCTTCTTCTTGAGGTGCCTTTACGTCTAGCGAAGGACGGCGGTCAGTTCTTCATATTTTTGTTTAGTTTTCGCATGTTTCTATGTTGTATTATAAAACTCAGTTTAATATCTTTTTAAATATTGTTTAAGAAGTTATTTGTGTTCATGTCTTTAAATATTATTCAAACTTTTATCGATTTTTCCGACATTTGAGACAGATGTGTGTAGTTTCTGCATTTCTTTCTTTTTTTAATTTTTATTAAGTAAAGCTATCATGTTCAAAGTTTTTATATTGAATACAAAGTGGTGTTGGATTGCCAAACTTTTGGAGTGGGCTGCGCAGGCTGGGGATAGAAGCTGTCGTGCCGACGAGCACTTGATCATGTCTCAAGCGCCCTCGCGTCTTTGTTCGCATTTTGTCTGCTTCCATTGCCACTCTACAAGTCCCCTTATTTGATGATAGTTGCTTTTTTGGCATTGTTAAATCATGTTGATTTGCAAGATTTGTTATATCTATCTATTATATTGTTGGATAAGATGCACAAAAAATTTTTTTCAATAGCTTTAGTCAGTAAATGATAGTCATAATATTTAGAAGCAAATCTTCGATCTTGTCACGAAATAATGCAATGATAATTTAAAAAAGGATTATGCTAATCAATTGATTGTGAATATCAATGTCTGTATTTGTCGTGATCAAAGTAGAACTGTAATTGAATCATTTGACTCAAAACAACATGGACAGTTTAATGAGGACGATTTTTTTCATTATTTTATTCCGTGTACTGGTGACATATTTTGATTATAATAGAATAATTTGGTACATCTTAAATATCCTTTATATGTTGTAATCTAATTATTACTCCCATTTTATAAGCAAATATTATATACCAACTTGTAAATTGTTAGAATATTCCATTCGCGTTAATAAATTCTACTTTTACCTTTTTTTGCGAACCGTACCGCTATTGGTATGATGCTTTAAGGCTTTCGCTTGAAAAATATGATTTGTAGCTTAGTGTCTCTGAAAGAGGACGGCTTAAAATGAAGATATTAGATTTTTCTTTATTACTTTCGTTATTACCAATCTGTCTAGGCTTAAATGATGTTATGGTTGAATTATCTATTGAATATTTGTCACAGAGACATGTTAAATTTTTATGTTTCCTTACGTGTGATAAATATTTTGGTAATTTTTTTATTTTTGTTATTTTATTATAAATAAATAGCAAAATAAAAGTTTTTTTAAAGTAATGAAATTGAATGTGGAAAGGGAGATGAAGACAAAATAAAGTATGTATGGATTGTGTGAAAGAGGATATGCGTAAGAAGGTGGTAGATGCAGATATGACTGCTGATAGAGATGTATGGAGTAAATACTATACCGACCTTCCGCAGAGATAAGGTTGATAATGAAATTGTATTTATAAAAACAAATTACTATTATAGCCCGACGGCAATTTGCAAAAGTCGCCAACGATCATTCAATTGCAGTTGGAATAGAGGACATCGGCAGTTACATATTGAATTATGGGAAGATAAAACGATGTATTGAACAGAAATATTCAAATATTGGTATTGTTATTGACGCTTATTGTAATAATACGACGAATATCCTGACTTATGTGAGTAGATTAAATGTATGCTAGCTCTTAAACTAAATAACAGTAGGTTAGAGGTTTGATTTCTTTAGTTGTTGCTCGAATTTTGTTGAGTCAATTACTTACAGGACGTGCGTGCTTATATCTTTCTTCTTTCTTCATATTTAGCCTTAAATTTAAAAAATATAGTTCCAAATAATTTTGAAACTAAGTCAAGTAGTTTGTTAGTTTTAGTCAATAAAGTTGTTATTCTCTGATTTATATGTTCGTAGCATGTTTGGAATAAAACTTTCTTTGAGTTTTGAAAAACTTTCTTACAGGCTTCTCAAGAAATGTTATTTAATTCTCCAAGGAAATGGCTCGTAACTGTTCAGAAGGATACGACGTATTTTAATGAATCGATGAAGAATAAATCAAACGATGTTATGGACAATTTTAACGTTATAGATGAATCTATATATGGTCTGCTTAATAAGTTGAATATGAGTGTTGATGCAGATGTTATAATAGCAGTTCAAGATGGTTGGTATATTTATTTGTTTTTATAATGTATATTAGGTTTCAGTAAACGTGTAAATACTTGCACGAATTTTAAATAGAGAATATAATATAAAATACTAATTACACAAAAGCGGAAAAGTTAAATTTTACACGAAGCTAGTTTAGTTGTTTGTCGAATTGTATTATTAAAAATACCATACCTGATTTATGGATTAACTAGCTGTCGCCCGCGACTCCATCCGTGGGGATTTAAAAACAAAATTAATGAGTAGCCTATGTGTTCTTCCAGTCTATTCTCTACATCTATGCCAAATGTCAGCGAGATCCATGCAGCTGTCTATCCATCTATACATCCATCTAAAGATTTCCTTATATAAATACGGCTAAACACTCACGTATATCACGTCGCTCAGTGAGCGAAATCAGTTCCACTCACCCTGATGAAGGGCCCCCGATGGGCTCGAAACTAGTCGGTGCCGCCACCGGACATATAAGTTTATTATAATGTCTTACGAAAGTTTGAATAATGTAAAGATTCACATTTATAATAATAGTAAGAAGTAAGATATTAAGGCAATTGTTTTAAGGTATTATGTCAACAAAAATTTATTTCTTAATTTATATTGTCTATGTTTAGACTTACGGACAGTTAATTTGTACGAAATATTTAATTATGGTAAGGTACAAGGTGGGAAATTAAAATTGATCAATATTGGTACATGGAATCCACGAAACGGTGAGTGCATTGTTAATTTTTTAATTAAATTATTTAAAACAGGACGAACATACAACAATTACAACATTTTCAGATTTACAAGGCAATTTTCTTACAATGTATAAATACTATAGGCGATGGGATTTTGAAGGACTGAAGTTACGTATGGTTATTGTGGTAGGTAATTTAAAATTGAATAAAAATAATTTTAGAAAAAAAAACATAATTTAGACCATAAATTATTTATTATCTTTTATTCTTCTATTAGCTGTTGTCCGCGACTCCGTGGCCGCGCGGAAATAAAAAAAAATTGTAGACTATCTTCTACATCTATGCCAAATTTCAACGAGACCTATTCAGCTGTTCTAGATATACCTTCAAACAAAAATCTATCTATCCAAACATTCATATTTATAATATTACTAGCTGTGGCCCGCTACTCCGTCCGCGCGGGATTAAAAATAGATGTTGGCCGATTCTCAGACCTACTCAATATGCTCACAAAAGTTCATGAGAATCGGTCAAGCCGTTTCGGCGGAGTATGGGAACGAAAACTGTGACACGAGAATTTTATATATAAGATTGATTTTCATAATGTTTATTATAGATGTCGCCACGTGTAAAGAATATCGGACCAGATGTTGTGACAAACAGACAACCGGTGGTTGGCGTTACAGCAGTTACCAGGACGACTTCTATGGTCCTACACGCTGTGTCAGAAATACACAACATTAGGTATCAGTTTTTATTATTTTGGTGGTTCAAAGGTCAGCTACAAAAGGCGACACTAAAATAGTGGGCCTAGCATGAAAATTTGTGACATTAGCCTTCGTACTCGTCAATAATGTCAAAATTAGTGCGAGATTTTAATACTTATACAAATTTTAATACTTTGTCAAAGATGGCGATCGTTACTAATATTCGTCGCTAGGCCCACTGTGCAGTGACTCGTGCGATGTTCATGGCGCTAAAATGTTGGCCTTTTGTTTTTGTGTGATAATCTGCATGCACAAGAACATTATTATCAAAGGAACTGCGCTGGCCTGTTATGCTGAACAATGCCTAAACACTAACTATAAATATTTGCCAGACATAGTAGCTTGGTTTATTAAGCGATAATTACAATGTTCGATGCGCGTATGTATCGGTGGTCGGTCGAGATGTCAAATTGACGTTTGTATCCCCGCTCCCAAGTGGCCAATATCTTGGCGCGCACTTACTATTAAAGACGTAAGTCAGGTAACTATGGGAGGTTAGTGGACTGGTGTATATTATAAAGGTTATATATTGTTACAGATACGATTATATTGTAGTTGATAGATGGATAGGAAATTATGATCGTAATGCATCTGCTGTAAGTATTATATAGGTTTATTTTACACATTTACATTAATGCGATATAATAATGAGATTGTGTACCTTAATACGTCATAAACGTTAACACCGAAAACAATGTCATCATCATCATCAGCTCACTATACGTCCCCACCGAGGGGCTCGGAGCCTACCCTAAATTAAGGGTGATAAGGTCATAGTCAACCACGCTGGCCAAGTGCGGGTCGGTTGACTTCACACTTATCTTTGAATTTCTTCTCAGATACGTGCAGGTTGCATCACGATGTTTTCCTTCACCGTAAGAACGTCGGATAAATGTACATATGTAAATCGGAAATTGAAAAACACATTGGTACATGGAGGGAATCGAACCCAGGACCTGCAGATTGCAAGTCAAGTGCTTGACCCCTGAGCCACCGACGCTCGGAAAAATAGTAATACATATAATCGAAAATAGTATAGTGATCAATATTTGTGGTGAAACTTTGACGTCCATAATATCCTTCACCGGCGTTCAAAGGGTTAAGACACGTGTCTAACTATATTTTTTGGGGTAACACAGATAATGTTTAACTTTCTACAGGCTGTTACAAACTCATTATACTTCAGAGAGGCTGACATTTCACCTGTGATTCGTATGATTAATTATACACTTGGCTACATAGATTTACTTTATCCACCCTTGACTTCAATAGAGTAAGTATAGTAGTCGTTTTTGCTTGACAGTTTTTTTTAGTAATGTACATTTACATATCGAAGTTGACAAGTAGAATATTCATATTAAAATTAATATTAGTACAGTCAGCTCCATAAATATATGTACATTTATAAAACTTCAGAAACTTGTTTTAAAAACATGTGTGCACGTATCGGTTCATATGATTCAGATCATGAGTACATGCTCTTGAAGAATACGTTTGTAAATATTTTTGAAACCAACGACCTATACATGTTTCTAAAGTTTTGTGTACATATTTATGCAGCTGACTGTACTGTTTCAGAACAAGATATTACTACAGAATTCCGACCTATGGTCCTGGTAAATTCGAGAATCAGTTCCTTAGGCCGCTAGCTCCTGGCGCCTGGTTATGTGTTCTTGCAGTGTGTTCGTTATGTATTCTTCTACTAGTGATGTCATCGAACATAGAAGGACGGCCATCTTCAACGCAGTTCGCAGTCCTTTCTGTATTTGCATCTTTTTGTCAACAATGTAAGCGTACTTTTCGGATTTGATTTTAAGTAAAAAAGTTTAAGACATTATATCGCTTAGGCATAAATTGAAATTTAAATATCCATTTTCTATAGTTGTTTAATATGTATATAAATATATTAATTATTGTCTTTTTTTACTAGTTTTCGAAGACAACAGTGAAATGGTAACAAGGAGAATAACGACAGGTAATTTGGCTTGATATCGAGTTTTGAAAAGAAACATGACATCTAATTTAATTAAAGTTGTACGTCCAAAGTTAACCAGAAGACTTGACACACCTTGTTTTAAACTTTAGCAGGTAAGATGACAATCCTGGTGACAGGATTGTCATGCGTCCTGATCTACAATTACTACACCAGCAGTGTGGTGAGCTGGTTGCTGAGCGGTCCCCCACCATCTATCAACTCTTTGAAAGAACTGCTTGAGAGTCCTTTGGAACTTATTTACGAAGATATTGGCTATACTCGGTCATGGCTGCAGGTACCAAATTTGTATTCATGTATACGTTCAGTGGCACTATATTTTTTCGTACTGAAATCAACTTGCGGGGTGAGTTAATGGTACAGAGGACATGTAGTAAAATATCCCTATGTCCTCTGCTAAATGTATGTATGTGCTTGAGGACGACGAGGAATAGGACAGAAGTGGATTTATAGGAACAACAGATACCTTTTCTGGCTTTCTTATCTGGCCTTTAAAGGTAGGCATCCCATTTTCAACCTTCTGCTTATAGCAAAGTGAACTTTACAAGTTTGCTTTATAATGTACCAAAACAATAAAAAACTTTAGAAAGGAAAAGTTAATCCAGAATCTGAAGCAATTTTTCATTAAAATCACAAATTGTAGATGCCGGACTATTATTATAACAAGAGAAATGCGAAAATAGAAGACGAACTAAGACAAAGGAAAGTTTTAAATAAAAAGAAAGGAGAACCGTTATTAGTGACTTTGGAACGGGGAATCGAAATGGTTAAGGCGGGAGGTATCTTCATTTTTAATGTGCCATCTTTAGTAGTACACTTGCTTAAAGGAAAGTTTAAGTCATTGTCAGTACCCAAATTGGGGCTCGAGTCCACCCTAAGTTCAACTGATGTGGGGGGGCTTCAAGAGTAGAGTGAATAGACATTTGCTTGCGTACCATCTTTCGGCCACATCATCTAAACATCAGGTGGGATCGTGGTCAAGCGCTAGCTTATTCAATATTCAAAAAAAAACTATCACAAACCTTTTGTTCGCCTTTTTTTGCACCCCAGTGTATAGGTTTACACCATTTTCACACCGTTGAATAGTTAATAGTATTTATCTGATCATCATCAACAGCTCACTATACTTTCCCACCGAGGGGTTCGGAGTCTACCCTAAGTTAAGGGTGATTAGGCCATAGTCAACCACGCTGGCCAAGTGCGGGTTGGTTGACTTCACACATATCTTTGAATTACTGCTCAGATATGTGCAGCATTACGATGTTTTCCTTCACCTGATCATATTTTTTATTATTATTTTTAGGTTATGCATATCACACCGAAGTGGACAATGCTAACACTCTGATATCGCGTACATTCACTCAGAACGAGCTCTGTGAACTTGGTTCATTGCAATCAATGGAGCCGACTCTTTTGTACGCTTCCTTGCAAAAGGATAGCCCTTATAAAGAGTTCTTTGTTTGGAGGTACATACCTTCTTGATTTGTTAATAATACTGTCAAATAAAAAAAATCTGCACATAATTTTGACCGCGAAGTGTAATAATTTTGACTGTAATTTTTTTTATTACACGAGCAAACCGTTCGTCTATATTTAAGGAATTTTTCAAATTTATAAACATAGATTTAACTAAGTTGTTTTTGCCTACTTTATAAGAAATTATATTTCAAATGAAATTTTTTCTTCTTTGCATCAATCATCATCATCAAACTATTGCAATAGAAATCGAAACGTTAATATTCTCACGAGTATTTTTATTCAATAAATAGGTCAGTTCAAGCTAATCAAGAACTGTTATGCAATTTAAAAATATATATTTACTGCTCTTATTAATCAGTTCATTATAAATGAACTCTTGACTACAGTTGAGCTTGGAATTTTGTTTTTTTATACATTTTCTTTTTTTTCTACTTCAAATACTGGCAGATAAAAAGAAGAAAAATAACATACAAGACAGATTTATAATGGAATTTTGAATTCGCTCGAGGTTCTATCATGTCAAATCCTTTATCTTATATTATATATCAAACGGCTTGACCGATTCTCATGAAATTTTGTGAGCATATTGAGTAGGTCTGAGAATCGGCCAACATCTATTTTTAATCTCGCGCGGACGGAGTCGCGGGCGATAGCTAGTATTATATTTTTTTTACATTATTTTGACTATAACATGAAATTGACTTTCATTGCACACATGTCGTGTTTAGCTAGCATTTTTTAATAAATGATCTCAGTTTGCTCCGCCTACGCGAACGTGGGATAATTTCCTGCATCCAGGATCGTACGCGAGCTCCCGATGTGTTGTGCGAAGGCAGTTCACCGAGAGCGCTGGCACTAGGCGGCGCGGCGCCGGCGTTCATACTGCTGGCTGCTGGATATGTTTCAGGCTTTTGTATTATGATTATAGAACGGTAAGTTAAAGTTTAATAATTTATTGTGCCAACATACTAAGTAGTGATTTCTTTTTAACACTTTTTTTTACAGTAGAAAAGTCTGAAACCTTTTTTTTCACGAATGAACCGACTCGACTTGTGAAATACCAAGGAAGGCAAGGAAGACAAGCGTTAAGTGGAAGCAATTTCTCTTTTTGTTTAAAAAATTTGCGTGCTTGTTGCCTAATTTTAATCCTCTTACTGTTCCCACCCTTTTCATAGAACCTAAGGATAGGAAGGAAAAGTGGATTCGGCGGAAGGAGCGTAGGAAAGGCGAATTCTTGTTCTTTGTCCCCGCCTCTATCGATTAACGGTAGACATCTGCAAATGCGGATGTCGACAGGTGCTTTTTGTTTGGCAACTTAAACCATAAATAACATGTTTGTCTTTGATTTTTTCAGCATTCACTATAAATTGCAAAATCGCGCTTGGCCACAATAAATTATTAAAATAGATTCAAAAATTACATAATATTTGGAGAGAAACAGCAAATGGTAACACCGTCACAAAACAGGACGATAGATCAGGTTTTTAAAAGAAAAGATTCGAAAGCACGCTATCTTAAATCCACAGAAATATTTGTTTTTGAAATTCGTAGTTATCTTGAACGTTAAAAAGATGAATAGATAAAATCACGCATTGAACTCGAATAAGACATAGAATGGGATAAATAAAAATATCGAAAAAGATGCAAAAAATTAGCGAATCGAGAGATGAAAATTAATTATTTTAAATGAATTTAGTTGTGACCGAAAAATGGATGTGAAATATAATTATTTAGCAAAACTCAGTGTCTCGTGAAATTGACCCAGCGGCGGCGGCGGCGTGTAACTTTGTATTATGCACACGATTGTATCTGCTTTTATTATAAATTGTTTCCTTTCTATAATAATTGTTTTATTGTTTCAAAATACCATAAAACCCAATTTAATTCATCTTTGTTTTATATTGATTCATAAGATAATAGCTTTTGCCCGCGACTCCGTCTGCGCGGGATTATAAAATAGATGTTGGCCGATTCTCAGACCTACTCAATATGCTCACAAAATTTCATGAGAATCGGTCAAGCCGTTTCGGAGGAGTATGGGAATTAAAATTGTGACACGTGAATTTTATATATAAGATTTATTCGGCAGTAGAGTCAAGGAGATTCGCGTAGATACCTTGTCTTAATTTGTAAACATTTTTTGATGGCGTTAGTAATAAAATAAAATAATCTTTTTTTTTAAATATTAAATAAGATTTTTTACCATAGATACCTATAGACCTAGTCTCAAAGAGTAACAGTTTCTTATTAAAGAGTACAACAAACACGTAAACATTGTGTGATAGTATAGAACTTTCGTCGCTCGTCCTGAATAAATAAATAGGCATATTGTGCATACTATATAAAACAAAAAACGTATCTACGGAATGTTGTGTAATTCTAGTAATAAGGTCGTTTCTGCTTTTTTTGTAAGCTGAAAGGAGCGGTCACTTATTATCGCTAAAATGTCGAAGTAACCATCTGCAGTTGGTACAGATAACATATAATATAGTCTTATAAAGTGTTATTTAAATTGTTTATACAGCAAAAATGTGTCGCAATGAAGTAACCACCTGCATTGCTGTCGCTTGATACAGAACAAATTAAGTTAGTGGAACTGTCGTTGTCGGACAGCTGCCAAACTATATGATTCAAAAATACACAAACATAAAGTTTGTTATAGTCAATTTAATATAGTGAACAAAATACTGTACTATGTTTATTATTATATACATCTTGAACAATGATAAAAAACATGTTACTAACATATTGAGAGTTGCTTGATGGATACTATCGAATATTCTTTATCAAGAAAAACCTATATTATTTTGTAGCTTGAAAAAGTTAAAGAACTCTAAGCCTGGGCTTAGCAGACTAGACAAGTTTAAGAATTTTGTAGGTCTGTTTGTTAATTTTGGATATTTTCGAAACGGCTGATTTTGTCAGGTCTTTTACAGAAACGTAGCTGATGAATGGGGAAATAATTAGGGTCTTTATTTAATTAGAGTTGATGTTGCAGGTAGCGGTTGTCTAGTAATAAACATTACGATAAACTTAGTTGAAAACTAAATGTTTCATAGCGGAACAATCTGTACGTAAAATAAAATATCATCTCACATATTCTCTTTAAAAAAACCAGTGATAGCTATATGTTTTTGACCAGATATTTCGGCAGTGGAAACGCCTGATAATACATATTGTATGATTACAATCAATGCGTGTATTTTTGGTGTCAATGCAGTAAAATGAATTTGCATTTCAATATTTTTGTAAAATACTACGAGGAGTGACTCGTATTTGAATTTTGGCACGGTCAGTTCTGCGGCGGACACCCGTTGCAACAATTATCCGGCTCGGTGAGCTGGCTCCGTTGAGACAACTGGAAACTTGTTTTGTCCACTGTTTGGTTTATATTGAACTAAAACTAACTTCAGGCATTTTGTAGATCAAATTTTTATGTTTTCGTAACAATATTTTGACAGAAAAGATTTGTTTTGTGTCAATATTGATTTTTTTCAATCGACAGTCATTTTAAAAGTACACAACGTATGAAACAGTGGTAGAGCCCGCTTTAACATCTTCGCACGAATTGGCCCAGCTCGCCCGGTGAAATACCACGACCACACAGAAGACAGGCGTGAAATGGAAGCAATTCCGCGTTTCGTCTGATGAGTGTGCGTCCCGGAGGCCTAATTTAGTCCTCTTTCCCTTCCCATCCTTTTCTTTATAAGGAAAGGATGGGAAGTGGAAGTGGACTTTACGGATGAGGGGATGCATGGAAGGGGAAGATATTTTCTTTCTGTGCATCCTCTCCTCCGTCGATTAAAGGTAGGCAGCGCATATGCAATTGCGTATGTCTATGGGCAGCAGTCACTTTGCTATTTCAGCGATTTCAGGTGGCTGCTCGCTCGTTTACCACCTTTTGATAAAAAAAAAGAAAAATAAGACTAGAATGTAGATTTAGTTACCATTTTAATTTCTATTCAATATGAAATAGGTTCAAGGTATATAATTAACAATTTCGATGGCAGTACAAGCATTAACTCTTTATTTTTAAATCTAGCAATAATGACATCATTAGTAGTAAAATCAGAGGTATTTGTTCTTTTAAAGGTAAATACGTACTTGAACATATTGTATAAAAGGGCATGAAACTAGTGCAGTACAAAAACGGGCGACATAGTGCGCGACACTACACACTAATGACACTGACGTCATCGACAGGTTAATGAACTTGAAATGTACAGACAGCAAAATTATATGGCTATTAGTTTTTACGCGTCAAAACAATTTTTGGAATTTTATTAAGATTTTATAACTAGACTAATCTACGTTAAAACGTCAATTTAATATAGTAGTTACAAAACAATGATTATAAAAGGATTTTTTTAATTCATAGAGTTACAAATATTCATTTGAACATTAGATGATTAATTACTTGTGTCTAACACACAAAATAACATCATTTGCACGTACATCTGCATATCTTAAAGAATAAAAAGTTTTAACATTAGCAAAAATAAAATAAAATTATTAGTGCAACTTATTTGCTGACTCTCCCTGCCTCAGAGTTCAATAGAGCCTCGCGTCGCACGCTCATTTCGTCTCCATGTAGCTTATGTGCGGCTTTCCTTACTTTTCATCGCCATTGCGTAAAATGTGGTACAGTTTATACGCTGTTGCGACTTATAGTAATACTAGATTGTGCCCGCGAGTTCGTCAGCGCGGAAATAAATAAAACTTAATTAGTAGCCTGTGTTCTTCCAGAATGTGTTTTAGATCCATGAGACATAACAGCGAGATCTGTTGAGCCGTTCAGTAAGGTATCTAACAAACATCCTTCCATCTAAATATTCGCATTTATAATATTAGTGAGAATTAATACTAGGAAGGTCTTTATGAAAGATGTCAATAAGTTTCATCATGTTTTATCATTTTATGGAAAACGTGTCGAGTGGAACGAACCCTTTTATTACGTAAGTTGCAAGTAAAGTCGGCAGGTTTTGATTTACATTGCCTTGTGTGTGGCTCTTACGCGATATCTTTTAACTTGACACACAGTATAAAGACTGCAGTGTGCGAATGGTCGCTGTCAAGACTAAACCTAGGATTTGTCCTCAGTAAGCTACCTTGCGATATGCTCGAATTTCCATCGGGGAAATGGAAAATATTATTTCACATATTTAATGATCAATTCCAACAGGTCTATACATATTGTAAAGGTAAAACAAAGAACTATCCATTTTTTATTTTTTAGATTTGATTTTGAAAAAAATCTAAAAATATAGAACAGTTATAATATTGCTTTATTTTTAAATGATGTATAATCTTTTTCGTGGTTTTTAATATAATGTTGGTGCGAAACGAGATATTGCGATTCAATACAATTTACTAATTGATAGTGAAAGATTGCAGGAGTTTAATCTTACTTTTTACTAATATTATAAATGCGAATGTTTGTTTGAAAGTATCTTCGGAACAGCTAAAGGGATCTCGACGAAATTTGACATAGATATAGAACATAGTCTGGAAGAAAACTACACGCTACTTTTTTATATCTTGCGGACAGAGTTGCGGACGACAGCTAGTATATACAATTTTATAATGGTTTAGTCATAAAGTTAGTCATCTAGTGTTATCTAGACGTAATCTTTCAAGTGTTTATTAGTTCAGTATATCTATTGTTTGTTGAGTACGCACTTGTCCTTGCGAGCGTACAAGTGTCGTATGTCGCAAAATATCAAATGCATTTGCAACTCGCAATTTTCCATAACCACAAGCTTGTATTGAATAATCTATTTTGAAATTCTTATTGTGTTTTAGTTGGAAATATACTTCTGTACACCTTTCACACTCCAAACACAACAATATAAGAATCAAAACCTACATTTTTATAGTAGAAGCATACAAGCAATTCGTTTGTGACTAAAACTTTTTTATTTTTATTTAAAGGTGCAACAAGCAAGCGGCCAAAGTAGCCAAGCGATCGCTACCCATAGACTTTTATAATTGTCGATGCTTGGCCTACCTTAAATCGACATATGAGGGGACGCACAGAAAGGGAATGTTCTCGCTTCCTTTACGTTGCCTTCTCCGTCAAATCCACTTTGCTTTCCTTTACATATAAGAAAAGGATGGAAAAGGAAAGGAGACTTAAACTAAGATAACGGCACGTAAGTGTCAGTAATATACAAATATGTATTATACTATCCATTCAATTTATTAAAAGCATAATTTTATAAAACATATTAAAGTTTATTAGAAAATATGTCTTTTCCAGTAACAGCAACTACCAATAGAATCAAAACCGGCGATAGTCCAATTGTTATTCCAGAATTCGGATCGCAAGCTTTCTTAGAATGATCTGGAATTGTCCAAGCGACGTTCTTTAAGTCTTCGTTTCCATTAATAATGGATTGCACAAATTTTTCCTCATTTTTACTTATTGTTGAATTTCTGCTTAGAACCCAAGCCCATACTGGAAATGTAAAATAAATTAAACAACGGTTTTTTGTCTTATTCAAACAAGTCAAAGGCAATTTTAAACTGATATATAAACACGGCTAACACTCAGTGAGTGACGGGCCGCGTCCGCGAAATAATACCAGTACCACTCATCCTGATGAAGGGCCCCCGATGGGCTCGAAACTAGTCGGTGCCGACACCGGACGTATATACGTGAGTGTTTAGCCGTGTTTATATATCAGTTTAGTAAAATGTCTCACGAAAGTTTGAATAATTTAAAGGCAATTTTGTTTGTGATAACTTTCAGCTAGGTGTTATGAGTTGTAGGGATCATATTTAATATTTAATTTAAATTGTATAATCATAGATGTATACTAATAATATAAAGAGGAAAGGTTTGAATGTTTGTTAACAATAAATAGGCGCCGACCCTACTTCTTTCACTGTTGAGAAGTTACACTATCCGTGGTTGACGTAGGCTATAATTAGATTTTTATAAATCAGCAATGCCGAAGTCAAGGACGACTATTAGTAAAATTACCTATTATAAATAATTACTTAAGGTAGAATATAAAAACGTACCATTTTTTGACGAATTATTAATATTTTTGCAACTGTAGACCACAGCGTAGTTGGTGTAATTCGTTGCCAATACAATTGAATTGTAGATTATATCTGAAAGATAATTTATTTTTATTTTATACACAAATTTAAATTTGTAAAATGTTTAGTAATAAATTATCAAATCTTACCTTCGTAAGTTATAGTAAATTGACCTTGGACAGTATTTTTAACTCCATACGGTACAACAATAGTTCCGTTTCTATATTTGATTTTTTTCTCATTTATTTCCTTGTTAGATATTGTTATATTGGAGAAGGAATCTTGCGTTGCGTATATCTTAGTAGTTGAACAAGTACCACATTCTTGTGCGTTTGGTATACGTTTGATTTGATACCAATCGCCTGATAACTGCAAAATAATTCAACATTTGTTTTACAAACTTTTTAACTCTTAATTAAATATTTTAATTCACAAAGATTATACGTAATTTTATGTAAAGGCCATCATTAAACTCATTTTTCGGTACATAAAAAAAGCTGATCATGTTTTTTTAGTGTCCAAATAAAAATTCTTTGTAAAACATTCAATATTGTTTTAAAAAGATGTTTTATTTGTTGATTTATGATGTCACGTCATTCATTTTGTAAATACATATTTTATTTATTATTCTAGAGATACTGCAGCTTGGATGGATTGTGTGAAAGAAAATATGGCTAAGAAGGGGATGGATTCAGATATGATGATAGAGATTTATACAGGAGTAGTGCCGAAACTCGGTTCACAATCCGGTAACTATAACGAAGTAACCGTCCGAGCCGAGACTCCTGAGGGAGCCCTCGAGTCTTGTTACTCTTAAACGAGGTTCAGGCTAAGCGCCATCTGCGCTCGGCCACCTCGAGCCCGGTGAAGCTGTAAAGGCCTCCTCGAGGCAAACAGTGACTACTCAGTCACAAATAAAAAGAAACTCTGTAGGGATAAGGGCAGGTTGATGACGATTCTAAAGTTTCTGGAGATTAGTAACTAAATCTATTATGTGGTACACATATTAAATAATGATTAATAGCATAGATATCATGATGAGTAATTAAACGAACATCTAAAAACAAATACGCAATAATTTCCTATACAAAGTAAATATTAACATTGTTATCACAATGGCTTTCTGAGGCATAAAATATTTGTATAAAACATATCGTCATCCCTGTCATTATCATTGAAAAATTAGAGATAACAGTATGTTTTAAACGGTTTTGGTCTCGAAAACCCACGGTTAATCTTATCAGAGTTGTTATAAGTCTTAAATACATACCTGAGTCACATTCAAATCTCTCACGGCTAGTATATTTCCAAAGTTACATGTTCCATTGCGCGCTATTTGTCCCGATGCAAAGGTAATTAAAAACAACGACACTATTAAAGGCAGCATTGTAAAATTTAATTTAAATAAAATATATAAAATAAAAGTCTGTACACTGAAACTCTCTGTTAAGAATTAAAAAATATTTTTGATGAACTTATCTTAAATAGACTTTTAATTTTTATGTCATTAAAATTTATTGAGAATCATTAAAATGTAATTAATTCGTTTGATGATTGTTCAAGTTGTTATGCGGTGATTTGTAATAGAGATACGCTAAAGAGAAATCATTCAAGTAAATTTATATACATTTTTATACTACTAGCTATCGCCCGCAACTCTTTCCGCGCGGAATTAAAAAAAATGCTATGTATTTTTGCAGACTACGTTTTATAAGTGTGACAAATTTCATCGAAATCCGTTCAGTCATTCTGGAGATATCTTCAAAGAAACATTGATCCATCTAAACATTGGCAGTTATAATATTATAATAGTAAGATTTATAAACTTCATATCAAACATACAACACATCAATGGGAAAAGCGAAAGGAAATGAAAGATTGTTCAGTTTAAAGTATTCTTAATCAGAACATTAACAATTTAATTAAAGTTAATTAAATTCTTTCCAGCTATAAACAGAACAAGGAATGTAAGAACAGGTGATATTCTGATGTTGAAGCCAGAGTTTATGTTACAAGCTTCTTTAGTGTGTTTTGTTTCAATCCATGTAGCGTTCTGTAGATCTTCATTTGATTTTATTAAAGCATCAACCGTTGTTTTATCAGCTTGTTCCAAAGATGTACTTTTGCTGTACACCCAAGCTGCAACTGTTAAAAAAAAGTTATAATTTCCATACCATTTTCGTATGGAAATGCGTAATTTTTAGTGCAAGTTTTGATATTGATATTTTAATATTGGTTCTTTACTGTATGCGAGCATCGGTGGCTCAGGGGTTAAGCACTTGACTTGCAATCCGCAGGTCCTAAGTTCGAATCCCGCCATGTACCAATGTGTTTTTCGATTCCCGATTTACATATGTACATTTATCCGACGTTCTTACGGTGATGGAAAACCAAAGATCTGTGTGAAGTCTACCAACCCGCACTGGACCAGCGTGGTTGACTATGGCCTAATCACCCTTAACTTAGGGTACGTATAGTAAGCTGATAATGATGATATAACATACCAGCTGAACGTGTTGCGTTGATGCTCGCACATGAGTATAGCAATACATATTTTGTGGGATTAACGCCCAATAAGACTGTATCGAAGGTATAATCTGTAAAAAAAAAACTCCGACTGAGGGCTAATGAGACAGAGATACTAGAGACCTAAGTCTTCTAGTCTTTTTTTCCATTTCAACCTTTAATATGGGAATAGATTAGAAGAGGAAGTAGATTCGTTGAGGAAATGTAAGGATAAGAAATGAAAACATCCTATTCTTTCGATTTTTATCTACTATGACGATTAAAAGTATCCAACGCCTCTATCTAACAAGTACAAGACTATCTTACTTAGCCATAAGATTAGATGGATGGATGGATGTTTGTAAAAAGGTACTGCCGGAACGGCTTAACGGATCCTGATAAAATTTGGCACAGATATAGAACACAATCTGGAAGAAGAAATAGGCTACTTATTTTTTTTAAGACTTGTAAAATTGATTCATTCAAAATTCAAACAATTAATTTCTACTTACTTTGATAATTCATATTGAACAAGCCCAATGTTGCATTTATTATAATAATACGACCTTTTGTGTTATGCACGTGGTCGCCATGAACCTCTCTATGTGCGAGAGACACGTACGATGTAGTATTTTCATTTTCAATAGCTACAGTCAATGTGGAACATTCTCCAGTGTCCAATGGATTCTCTATATGTTGTATTTGATGCCATTCTCCTAGCAACTGAAAATGTTTATAGATAAAGAAAAAAATCTACGCTACTATTAGAACGCTAATTTAACAGTGGTAGAGCCCGCTTTAACATCTTCGCACGAATCGGCCCGGCTCGCCCGGTGAAATACCACGACCACACAGAAGACAGGCGCAAGTGGAAGCAATTCCGCGTTTCGTCTAATGAGTGTGCGTCCCGGAGGCCTAATTTAGTCCACTTTCCCTTCCCACCCTTTTTCTCATAAGGAAAGGATGGGAAGTGGAAATGGACTTTCCGGATGAGAGGATGCATGGAAGGGGAAAATGTTTTCATTCTGTGCATCCTCCCCTCCGACGTTTAAAGGTTGGCAACGCATATGCAATTGTGTACATATATCTATGTGCAACGATCACTTCGCTATTTCAGCGATTTCAGGTGGCCGCTCGCTCGTTTGCCACCTTTTGATATAAAAAAAAAACATACCTCTGTAATGTTCAATGTTTTCACAGACGCAATATTTTCCCAATCACAAGGGCCATTGCGGATAACTGTTCCTAAAGCAAACGAAATAATACAAAAGAAAAATATATAACGAAACATGTTGATGTTGTAATTTAGACTGGTTACAGTGATAGTTTACAGTTGACTGACTGAAATATAAATAAAGACTGGAGTTATCTTAAGTGTACTTAAGCGATTATAAAGCTTAATGCATAACGGCACCGCTTAATCTGACAATGTTTCATGAAAGTGAATATGATATGTATATCCTTATACTATTGCGATATGGAGATGAATTGTTATGTTCTTTAAACCAATTTCTAGTTTTTATCTTCATTATTTAAAGATTTATTTTATCACGTGACTAAAATAACTAAAAAAGTACTAGATTTCGACCTAACTTTGCTCGGGACGATTGAATACAAAATATAAAATCTCTCAAAGTACTTGCTTATAGCTTTCTATTGGTGCAAAATTTTAAAAAATCATGTAATATTCCGTACTGCAACACGGGCGTGAGAACAGCGCGGAGGTACCTTTCAGACCTCACCCGTCGCTCTCTCCTCGCGTCTCTCTGATTACTTATATTGTTTCGTGTGTAGACTAGCCTTTATTTATTTATATTAAAACAGTAATTGACCTACTAGCTTCCTGGGTGTATATGTATACCACTATTGATTATTAGGTAACTACTTGATAACTAATTGGGAAATACCTGTTGTGAAATAATCAACAGTATGTAAATATTTATTTTATTCTACTTAATTAAATTATAAGGCGTAAAACTGTAAACTTAGTTAATTTAATAAATAAATCAACTAAGTTTGCCGAGTTCCGTCATCGGACGACGCGACAGACCGCCAGGTTCCATCCACACCAACTGGATGGCTGGCATTCCACACTGGTGCGATTCTAGCGCAATTTTTTGCCTCGCACAGCCGCGTTGTGGAACGATCTGTCCTCGGCGGAATTTCAAAACCAATACGACTTAGGGACCTTCAAGAAGCGCGGATACCATTTCCTTAAAGGCCGGCAACGCATCTGCAGTTCCTCTGGTTTTGCAGATGTCCATGGGTGTCGTTGTTCCTCCCACCTCGGTGTTCCCGCGGCTCGTTTGCCCCTTCTCTTATAAAAAAATCATAAACTTCATCCGGTGTCGGCACCGCCAAACACATCGCAGGCTCTTCAAATTCTCTTGCAGTGAGAGATAGCCCGCGTTCGCGAAATAATGCCAGTCCCTCTCACCCTATAGAAGAGCCCACGATGGGGTCGAAAGTAATCGGTGCCGACACCAGATTAAGTGGACGTGTTGAAGGCGTTTTTATTTTGATCAATAAAATATATATTAATTAAAATAATTCTAGCAGATTGTCCCGTAACATTCTGGGTAAAGGGTCATTTGTTTTGCTTGTACAGTCCTGACACGAATTCCGTGATCTTTGCCTAATCTAAAGTAGAAGTGTTAAACATACCGTGCGGGGATTACCACGAACATTCATTTAAAAGGACGTCAGACTTGATATTAGAAATATATATTACTTATGAATGAGTGTTCTATGTAAATTTGTTATCAGCGAAATATCAATTAAAGTACAAGACTCAAGTACTTGTTTATCATAAATCCGTCACTTTAGTCACACTGATGAATAATGTAAATATTTATTTTATTACTTATGATGTGTATATTTTCTAATTATCTATGTCTATACTTTTAAAAACGATTTACAAGAAAGGTAAGCTGTATAAGCAAAGGATGAAAATTATTATTCAGCGCCTTCAAAGATAAAATAGCAATTCGTTGTAATTGTCATTTCTCTCGTTTTTTTTTCTAAGTAAAAAATATTTCGTTGTCTTAAACGTATATTAAAAACGTATATTTTAAAGCCTTGTTTAAATTTATAAGGTACTTGTCTGTCGGTACTAAATTTAATTAAACGATATAAATTCCGTTCCGTAGAGGAACTTGTTAATTGCCCTCAGTAGTGATTGAGAGGCCGAATTCACTCGTTTTTTCCAAAGTACCCAACTTTCGCAATTTACCTTTAAAATCAAATTAATTATGACGCCGTTTGAATTTTATTTTTCAATACAGGTCTTTTTTATTATTTAATTACGTAATAACATAGAAGAGTTAAGTAACAACAGACAGTTTCTCGTAGACGTTGTAGCGAATTGTAGAATGTTCTACGATTCGCTTGTAGACGGGTTCCAATACCATGTCACTTGTAATTTATGATGGGTTTCACTTGCAATTTATAATTGCAAAATATCCTCAAAATATAAACAATTAATTTAAATTTGTGTTTTAAAATAAAAAAGATACGAAAACTTACATAAAAACGGCCAAAACACGACGTATATTCGTGCGGTTCCTTCATGTGAGTGTTTTAGCCGTTTCTAAAAGTTTACGATAATGTCTCATGAATAATTTAAGTTATGAAAAATAACATTTTATTCATAAAATAATACTAAGAAAGTGTTTTAAATACTTCAATGCTCCAGTAAAATAAATGGTTGCGGCAAGAGCGGATGCTTCATAATCCATGGTGGACATTGTTGCAGTGCGATCTCTCGCTATCTTTGCTAATTACAAAAAGATTACGTAAAACTATCTTTTGTCCTTAAACAAAGAGAAAGAGACAAGAAAACGTAGTAGATTCCTTTGTACTAGCGCAATTTTTTCTTGATAAGAATTCTATTGAAAACATCCGTATAAGTTTCGCTTAAATAGAAACTAAGGCAGCAAAGAATCTCTTTTATTATCTATCTATAATAAATTATTTCTAATATAACGAATGTTTAAAATACACAAGCTTTTAGCGCGTTTTAATTAAAGAGTAAAAAATATCGTACCTTTTTTAGATTAATAGCTGCTTTTAATTAAGAAAAAAAAACTTTTGTCTCGATTAGAATCACGATTTATGTGCAGTGATTTAAAAGAGAAAAAACCCTTTGATTACATTTTTACGTAAATTCCTTTTTAAATAATTTTTTTTATAACCGTGGATTTCCACTGACAAGACAATTTTATTATACTATTTGTCACCCTCTTTGTTTTAAAACAAATAATAGTGGAATTTTGCAATAATATAATTTAAACATTTCCTATATTTTTAAATTTAAATGTTCTATTGGATTACATTTTCTACAAAAAAAAAAGATGTTGTCCTGAAATTATTAACATTGTACTTTTAGTACACGTGAAAAGTTCCAAGCAAAAAATCAGAGTGCAAGAGCCACTTACTTAATACCCTCCATTCTGTAGCGCCGTCGCGCCGCTCTCAGTTCAATGACCCCGTCTACTTCGCGGATTCGCTGTCTCCATCCACATACTACACTTACTGTAGGTTTCGACTACAATTCACTACTATTAACACATATTGTCCTCTCTCACATTTCCTTTGTAAAAATAGAGACAACTAGAGTAGAAATATATACTTACCTATATGTCGCATCTATTCCAAGTATACATATGTGTTATTTTATTAAACCAATAGTAGACCGTAAAAAAGTAATATAATTAATGTTCTTGAAGATAATGCAAAACATAGTTAAGGTTAACGCCTATTCGTCCACTTCTCGACCACCAGGTATCATCCCGCCTTGCGATCTTCGCAGAGTTCACGCATCGCCGCGTCGACGTCACTGTTTAAGCGGGATAGATATAAATTTATTAATAAAACGATACGTCATTCTCGCTTTGCACGGGTTGACGGCGTCTGGTTGGCGAGGTATCACCGTTAAGGCGTCACGCGGTCGGGTTAATGAATGAAAGTAAGAAATTTATTATCTTTTAGTTAATTCTTCGAAGTACAATATCTAATGTATATTTTACTGCAGGAATTCGAATATCCTACCCTTGTATCAAAAGGAGGCTTTACGCTCGCTCTGATGTTACCCCTTTAAAACAAAGGAATGTAAGAATTTTTCCAGCGACAAATTACACGATAGAGTGCTCACGGAAAATTGAAATTAAGGAATTTTCCAAGAATTTTCTTGTTAAAATAATACAAGAGAAATTCTCGGAAGGGATATATTAACAATTTAAAATTAAATGTGACGTAAAGTGATACAAAAAAAAATAACATTAGTCGATTCCCTGTTTTAAAAATTGTAAATACATTTTAATTAACGTTATCAATGATTTATATAAATTTATAAGACCTATAATTTTTTCAATTGTGTAATTATTAAAAAAACATATAAATTAATAGACATATCTATATTGTTCTCTTTTCAGTCTTTACTAAACGGTTAACTCTTCGCTAAATATATGAAATTTAATGTAAAATTAATCTCAGGAAATAATAACACGAAGAAATTTAAAAGCAAGTCATGAAGGAATTATTCTTAATCATGTCTATAAGACATAAATATAGACGATGTCTCATGTTAAGCCTAAGCTTTACCAACAAAAGATATATGTAAATGATGATTTGATTTGAAAGGAAAATTAAAGTTTGTTAGTTAGTTAGAATTTCTCATCTGTTCATTTATAATGCAATTTATTTTATTCATTCTCCCATTCATTTGTTTTACTTAAGTAATTTTATTTACGGAAACAATTTATCAAAACCATAGGAACATACCTCGCGTAATTAACATTATCACGTCGACCACACGTCTAAAGCTGATATTCACAACAATGAGTAAACACCCTAACCGCAGCTCGTGGGCAATGTATCGGCCTAATTAACATGGATCGCGGTTTATCAAGCACGTATAGTCTCGTTTACATTAGACCTGTGACACACTACAGTCGTCAGAGTACACATTGTTCTATAGTCTTGTAGGTGTAGGTTAACTAAGTGGAATGATTGTAATTTTTTTAAATCATAATTTGGCAAACGAGAAGTGGCCACCTAAATTTCCAGAAGTGTCCACTAGCTTAGGCAACCGCAATTATAAATGGGTTGCCTACCTTGAATCGACGGAACTTAAAAAACAGGTGGTTGGTTTTGATAGTGGTATAAAATTGGATTTTCTTTTTCTAGATGAAAGGAAAATATGTCACTAAACAAACAAATTAAGGCCCCTTTTGTTAGTAGAATAAATTATTAAAAGTTGTAAAATTGAATAAAACCCAAAGTAAACTTTAAACACAAGCAGAAAGTTTTTGGATCCGAATGAAAAACTCTGTTGCAAAGTAATCCATT